GCCTTCCATCGACACAGTCCCTGAGGAAGTGGAACTTGACGTCGATGTGCTTGCTCCGGTCGTGGAGAACCGGATTCTTTGTGAGGGCGATGGTGGGCTGGTTGTCCACCATCAGTGCTGGTGGGTGAGCTTCCACACCGGTTAGCTCGCCCAGCAGTTGACGCAGCCACATAGCTTGGCACGCCGCTGTGCCTGCCGCCACGTACTCTGCCTCGCATGTGGACAGCGCCACCACCTTCTGTTTCAGCGACAACCATGAGATTGGAGCCGGCCCGAGGAAGACGAGCACGCCAGAGGTGCTCTGAAGTCCGTCGATGTCTCCCGGCATGTCTGTATCGCTGAACACAGTGAGCTGCAGCCCACTTTCGTAGGTCTTGGGGAAGACGATCCCATGATCCACCGTCCCCTTGACGTAGCGTAGCAACTGCTTCACTGCAGCCTAGTGATCCTCTCGGGGATCCTCCATGAAACGGCTGACGTAGCCCACGGCGAACGCAATGCTCGGCCTCATGTGGACTAGGTAGCGTAGACCATCGACGATGTTCCGGTAGAGTGTTGTATCTACCTTCGCCGCGATACTAACCTTCGTCAGCTTCAGCCGCTCCTCCATTGGAGTCATGCACGGCTTGCACTCAGCCATGCGGCTCTGCTCCGATAGCTTCGAGGCATACGGGCTATGACCGAGCGTGAGCGTCTCCTCTCCTTGTCTCACCTCGATGCCGAGGTAGTAGGAGAGCGCGCCGAAATCGCTCATTCAAAAATGAGCCACCATCTCACACTTGAAGCTGTCGATGTCCTCCGCACGTGCGCCGGTGATGATCAAGTCGTCCACATACACGCCCACGATGAGCTCCTCCTTCTCCGTTGTCGTGTGTAGAGCGCGTGCTCGGTTGCGCACCGCGTAAACCCAAGCTCGCCCAGCATGGCGTCAAACTTGGTGTTCCACGCTCGCGGGGCCTGCCGGAGCCTGTAGAGCGCCTTGAGTAGTCGGAGCACCCTGTGCTCCGCTCCCTTGACGGCGAATCCCGAAGGTTGCCTGACGAAGACCATCTCCGCTAGCTCGCCATTGAGGAAGGCCGATTTTACGTCCAGATGATGGACGCGCCAGTCCTTCGCTGCTGCCAAAGCCAGTAGCAGTAGGATAGACTCCATGCGCGCTACCGGCGCAAAGACTTCCTTGAAGTCGATGCCCTCGCGGTGGACAAAGCCTCAGGCAATGAGGCGTGCCTTGTGCTTGACAATGGCGTTGCGCTCATCCCGCTTGACCTTATACACCCACTTCAGGCCGATCGGACGGCATCCTAGAGGTGGATCGACGAGCTCCTAAGTCTCGTTTTCCTCGATCGCCTTCATCTCCTCTAGCATCGTCCGTCGCCAATTTGCATCGCGCTCGGCCAGCGCGAACGTGGGTGGTTCTTCTGCACTAACGAGAAGCAGCTCTGGGTTATTGAGCAGCCGACCCGCTAAGCCTGAGGACCCTGTGCCGCCGACGATGTCGTCCAGCCTACGGAACCGCACCTCCTCACCATCGTAGAAAGCATCCACGAACTCTGTGATGTCGCTTGGAGGTGAGGCAAACTCGATCGGCGTCGATGGAGTCCCCTGTTCTGCCAGAGTTAGCACAGCACCTAGAGTGCTCGACACCCCGGCTGCAGTGCCCGGCACTACTCCTAGATTGCTCATCACCACTACTGGAGTGGTTGACACTACTGCAGGAGTGCTCGGCACCAGTCTTGTAGTGGTTGGCACCACTACAAGGCCTCTCGGCTTCACTACGGGAGCATTCGGCACCCGTCCTAGAGTGGTCGCCACCACTGCAGGACCGCTCAGCACCACTCCTGGAGTGCTCGGCACCCCTCCTAGAGTGCTCGGCACTGTCCTAGGACTGCTTGGCTCCATTGCTGGAGTGGTCGGCACCTCCTCTCCAACGTCTCCACCACCGTGGATGACCAAGTGCTCGACGATGAAGGTGCTGGTGAAGCCGCCAGCTTTCCCCATGCCCGGACTATCCCAATCCTAGGACGTCTTCTCGTCGAACACGACGTCGTGCGAGACAACCACCTTGCCTTCATAGGGGTCGTAGAGCCAGTACACCTTGGTACCTTCCTTATAGCCAGGAGCACCATCGGTGTGCTCCTGTCCTCCAGCTTGGTGAGGACCGGCTTCGTCTTCCTGATGTGGCCGATGCAGCCGAATGTCCGGAGGAAGGACACGCTCGGCTTGCGCCCATACCAAGCTTTGAACGGCGTCTTACCCTTCAGGGCCTTGGTGGGCGCGCACTTGAGGATGAACACCGCCGTGGTCACCGCCTCACCACAGAACCTTGCCGGCATGCCCTTGACCTTCATCATGGATCGAGCCAAGCCGACCACCGTCTGGTTCCGTCGCTCCACCACGCCATTCTGCTGTGGCTAGTACGACGCGGTGTGGTGTCGCACCACACCTAGATCCGTGCAGTACACAGCGAACTCCACCGAAGTGAATTTGCCGCCGCGATCAGTTCTCAGCACGTGTAGCTTCTTGCCGCTCTCTGCCTCCGCTCGCGCCTTGAACTTCTTAACCACTTCTGCCGCCTCGATCTTGCTGGTCAGAAGCTACAGCCACATGTACCGACTGCAGTCATCCACCAGCAAGATGAAGTACTTGCACCCGTCGGGCGTCGTCGGCGTGATCGGCCCGCAGAGGTCACCATGGACCAGCTCGAGGGTCTCTGCCGCGTGGTACTTCACCGTCGTCGGGAACGACAGCCTTCTTTGCTTCCCGGCCAGGCAGCTGTCACATAGCTCGCCTGCGTGCTCCATGTGAGGAAGCCCAGTCACCATCTTCTCTAGCCAACCAAGAGCGTCGAAGCTGAGATGTCCATACCGGGCATACCACAGCTACGGCTCCTCCATGCGTCGTGTAGCCAAGCAGATGGGCTGCTCCACCTTGAGGTCGAGCAGGTACAGCTGATTCTGGGATATCTTCACCTTGGCAAGAAGGCGCTGTTCCCGGTCCCTGATCCTGAGGACGCCGTCCTTGATCAGTACCTCGCCACCGCGCTCATCCAGCTGGCCAATGCTAATGATGCTTGAACGCAGCTGTGGGATGTAATATACATCCGTTAGTGCGCGGTGCTCGCCGTTCTGGCACCTAAAGATGATGGTGCCACGCCCTCGGATCGCCACCCTTCAGCCATCACCGAACTTCACCGTGCCGGTCACGTCGTCGTCGAGCTCGGAGAAGGCTGCCTTGGAGCCCGTCATGTGGTTGCTAGCATCGGAGTCCAGGTATCACCGCTGCTCCTGTCCGCCTTCCACACGTCCGAGGTGGACTTGGGCGCGTAGTTCGTCGAGGTAGACAGCCTTCAGAGCCTTGTCGTGCCCTTCCACCGCCGTCAGCTCTCCCTTCTCCTTGGCCTTAACGTCGTGCAGTGCATAGAACCTCGCCATCAGAAGAGTGGCCTCATCATCCTCATCAGCCTGCGCTAAATGAGCCTCAGCCTTCTTCTCCTGCTTGCAATTTGGACACTTCTTTACCCAATGACCCGTCTTCCCGCAGCGCCGGCAGGCGTTGGGGTCGACCTTCTTCTTCTTCTCCGAAGAAGCCTTACCGCAGCGCTTGCCATCGCCACCGTGGCTGGAAGAGGCTTTCCCAGACTTCTTCCTCTGGGCAGCCCACTCCTCTGTCAGCAGCAGCTTGCCGATGTCCGTCATTGCTGTGGCCTACTCTATGCGCTCGTCCACCACCCGCAGACGACCTGTCACATCCTCAATGGTGAGGGTGGACAAGTCCAGCATCGTCTCTATAGAAAGAGCGATCTGGATGTACTTCATCGGTACAGAGTGGAGGTACTTGGAGACCGCCTCTTCTTCGTCGATGGTGATGCCGTGGCTTCTCAGCTTGCTGATGAGTGACTGCAGGAGGAGGGAGAAGTCCTCCACCGATTCATCATCCTTGAACTTGAGGGTGGTGTACTCCTGCTTCAGCAGCTGGGCCGTCCCCTTCTTTGTGCAGTCGGAACCGACGTGCATCGCTGCAATGGCCTCCCACGCCTCCTTAGCAGAGTTCTTCGCCCCCAACGGCTCCATGTACTCCGCTGGCACAGCAACGAGGATAACCTCCAATGCTGACATGTCGTCTTCTTCGTTATCGGTGCCCTTGTTAATAGCATTCTAGAGCCGTCGGGCTCTGAGCTTGGCCTTCATGGTCACCGCCCACTCGCCATAGTTGGTGCAAGTCAGCGTCGGCCAACTAGTGCCGTTGACCTCCCGCACTATGCGCATGATGACCTCCTGTCGTGGCTGGGCAGCCACATCATCGCCACTGCTGTCGCACATCTCCAAACCATCCGTCATCACCAGCGTTAGTCCGGCAACGACGCTTGTACGGCTCTAATACCACTTGCTGGCCCCTGGATCTTCGGAACGGGTGAGTTGACCACTCCCGGCGTTGCCGACCACACACTATGACTAGAGGTAGAAGAAGGGAGGAAGAACAGAGCGCAAACACACAACACAAGCACCAGCATTGGCCGGAGCTCTACAGAGGAGATGGTAAAACTGAATTCGCTCTCTTTACTGACTCGCAGTGGGAAGTTATATATACAACTCTACCCATCTAATCCTAGTGCACAGATATGTCAGGCTACCATGCTGTTACAGTGACTATACATGACAACAGGGCTGACTTTGGCACCTGCCCTTGCTGTGGCTACAGTGTGGCAGGAGAGTCTTTCGGCGTCTGCCCCTGCAGCGGCTACAGGGAGAGCAGCAGATTACATTTACACTCCCGAATAAATGGATATTTTGGGTAGGAATGATTGCTATGTTCCTCTACAACAGATAACTTATTATAGGATAGTGATAGATAAGAAAGGTCCATGTAATTCTTTATGAAGCTTAGATCCACAGTTCTAGTGAAATTGTTTGATGAAAGATCCAACCGATTTATTCCTACAAGCTCTGACAATAATTCTGGGATTGGTTCTTGCAGCTTGTTATTACTAACATCAATCACTCTCAAATTAGAAGATATATTGGGACACAGTTGAAAATTTCCAGTGAAATTGTTTTGCGAGAGATCTAAATACACCAAAGAAGGGGAGGAAAACAAAGATGCAGGTACCACTCCACTTATCGAGCTGTGACTAAGATCAACTATTTTTAGGTTGCGTAGAGCATAGTATCCATCTGAAGATAATGAACCAATTAAGTTGTTACCTGACAAGTCAATTGACTCAATCATGGGCCATTGAGTAAAGGGTGGGATGGAGCCATTGAATTGGCGATTAGAAAGGTCCAACACAGTCAGATTTCGGAGGTTACCGATAGACTCTGGTATTTTTCCCGAAAGCTTGGTTCCAGTAAGACTCAATTCCTGCAAAGCGCTACCCTCTATGAACTCAGGAAACTCTCCACATAGATTCTCATTCTGTGATACTAATACCTCTAGCACTGTCAAGCTTTTGATATGAAATATCCATGAAGGGAAGTTCCCAGTCAACCCACAATATGTTATGCTTAGCTCTTGCAGACTTGGTGTTGTATTGGTAGAAGAAGAATGTACCGACCTGATCGGACTTACTGAAATGTTGACGGAATAAAGATACAGCTTCTGTAGACTGCCAAGGTTGTTAATCAAGGCATTTAAGCTCAGATTTTTAAGGTCAAGCGCGAAAAGGTCTAGCATGATTAAGTTGGAAAGAAATGGGAGCTTAGTAAGAACAGTATCAAAACGGCCGCTAGTGATCGTGCACACCCACATGCGTAGCTCTTTGAGACCTGACGTGGTATTTGTAGAAGGAGCATATGCCAAATCCGTTGGACTGACTGAAATGTTTACATTTTCAAGATATATAGATTTTGGAGATTACTGAGGCTGCCAATCAAGGTATGAAGGCTCAAATTTTTAAGACCAAAGTCCGAGAGGTCTAGCGTGACTAACGCCCTGTTTGCTTGGCTTATAAGCCGTACTTTTTTAGCCAACGAATAGTATTTTTCTCTCACAACAAATCAGCCAACAATACTTTCAGCCATAGCTTATCAGCCAAGCGAATAGGGCATAAATTGGCAAGCTTGGAACGAAATAGATCAGTAACAGAAGTATCAAATTGTCCGCTAGTGATTTTGCGCCCACTGATGCTTAGCTCTTTGAGACTGGACGTTTTATTGCCAGAAGAGGCATGCGCAAAATCGGTTGGACTGACGGACATGTAAGCATCATCAAGATACAGCGTTTGTAGACTGCCAAGGCTGTCGATCAAAGTCTCAAAGCTCAAATCTTTTAGATGAAGGCCAGAGAGGTTTAAAGTGACTAGACTGGAAAGTTGGCCGTTCTCGATGGGTAAATCACCAGACAAGCCAGAAAAAGAGAGGTCAAGGTACTTGAGATCAGTGAGCTGCTCAAATCCCGGACTTGGCCACGGACTTGCATCAAAGTTGTTGTATGCAAGGCTAAGGAAGCGAAGCGAGGTAAGGTTAAAGATGTCTGGTGGGCTGAGGTTACCCGAGATGCAGAGATGGGAGAGGTCGAGAGCAGTGACGTAGCCCGACGTGCCGTCACATGTTCGCGTTCCCAAGTGCAGCAGTTGGTGTCTGCCTTCCACGACGAAAGAGGGCTCCGGACCCATCCACTGAGATACGCGCTGAGGAAGTGGTGCATGCCACCGAGGTTTGTCATGGCGAACTCCAAGTGGAGATGTGCGGATGATACCTTGAGGATGATGTATCAACATACAGAAGTAGGAATGCGACATGGTCTCCATCTCTGTAAACGAAGAGAGACATATCGTGCTTGGAAGCCGTGAAGCTGATGTTGCAGCGTACCTGGCGAAGTACTGGTTCCAAGCCCGATGGGCCTACTAAGACCATACAAGGATTTTTACAAGAGACAGGCATGGTCCGGTGCAACGGGGTCAATGAAGCTCGACGACTGCTAGCAGTACACCATGTCCTCTAAAAGGATTTATGGATGTCTAGAGGGGATGTATAGCCTATCAAAATTCTTTCAAAGACAAAACACTAGGTCAAAGTGGTTAGTACTAGAGACAATCCTAATAGCCACTGCAAGCCTAGACTAATCACTTCAACGCAAGTCTCCCTACACGATTAGGGTAGCGAGAAGTATTTCTACAACTAATGCACACAAGTTACCAGAGGCAAGCTAAACAACTAATCGAGCTACTAAAGAGAAGCACATACTCAAACTAAGCTACTCGACTAGAGAGACTACCACTACATAAACAACTACACAAGCACAAGTTATGAAAGTAAATGCAAGAGTAGTAGTGACCAAACTAACGAGGGCAAGTGACACAAATATTTACCCTAAGGTTTGGTTGCTTGCCGGCAACCTAGCTACTCCCCATTGAGGCGAGTCCTTTAGACTACCACTTTCACAAGCCTCGTGAGCACTTGAGCTCGGTCCTCGACATGGGAAATTGTGTATAAGTCGGCTTGTCACCAAGGCACTCTCCAAACCTCGTGATTTTAATAGAGTTAGTCTTTGTGAATCTCCCGCAGGGATGAGCACAAAGCCCCTCACAATGCCACCAATCGGAGCCCCCGTACAATCACCAAGGGGTGCTTAGTGATCCAACAACATCACCAAGCCATCTATGTGGCCACAACCACCAAGAGTAACAACTCCACTACAACAATGATTCCCAAGTGCCTCTAGATGCAAACTCTCATTGCAAAGCACTCAAATCCTCTCCAATCTCACACAAAAGCAATCTCTAGCAAAGCAAGTGAGTGGAGTGTGTTTCTCAAGATCTATGGATGCAACAATATCAGGCAAGGGTGCCAAGAAGGCTAAAATGGTTAGTGACCCAGGTATTTATAGCCCTAACCACTCAACTAATCATTGGGCTAAAAATAGCTTTGGTGGGAGCACTGGATGCTTGGGTGCCATCACCGAAGAAGCCCGCAGAGAAAGGATCCTAACACGATTTGACATCCAATGACTATTTTTAAATGGTCATATATATAACTATTAGGGTGCTTGTTTCTCTGGTGCTACTACCGGATAAACCTAGTGGCCACCAGAGCTAAAGTCGAGCTCTAAGGAGAATAAATTCAGGATCACATTCTCCAGTGAGCCCCCTCAGACACCACCAAGGAAATTAGGTGGGTCTAGGTGCTCTTGTAGAGAGTTCTAGGAGGCACCGGAAAAGTCCGATCTTCCCCATACACCTAGCACCGGAGAGAGTGCTTCACCGTTTCAATTTTCCCACTTGCGCCGATCATCACCACGTGTCCCCTCTGGAGCTACTTTCTCCGGTTCTTGGTCCATTGTACCACCAGAGAAATCCAGTGGTCCAGGCAGAGCCATCACAAGTTAGAAACAAGGCTACAAGATGCGTTCTCTGGTGACCCCTAGGGCTAGGCACTGGACCTTTCCGGTGACCTGACTCCCCCCCTTAAATAGCTCTCTCTCTCTCTCTCAAACTATTTTCGCAAGTGTGCCAACTCTAAATGTGTTCCATCAAACACATTCACCTTTGATCACTGAGTTAGAATTTTCAAATGCTTTTGAAAAACATTTCCACTTGCTTCCTTACCATGTCACTAGATATAATGGAGATGCAATGTTAGTCCTCACCTAGTGTGACTTAGATAAACCGTAATCACATTAGAGCTCCCATCTTTAGAGTACAACTATCTATGCTAAATCTAGTCGTGCACTCTATTGTGCCTTTGCCGATGAAAGTAAAGTACTATCATATTCCTTTGCCTTCGGGCTTGCTCTTCATCACCTCTCCATGGTTGAGTACTTGCTTCATGGTCATGATCATCATATATCCACCATCTCCTAGCCTTGCTCAACACCATCATGTGGACCTAGCTCAATCATCTTCTTTGAAAGCATTAGTCCACTAGTTGTCACTTAATTATCAAAACCAAACTAGGGCATTCATCCTCCAGGTAGCCATGAAGAAATGAGTTCTTCACATGCAACTAATGAATCGTCCAGTTCCACGAGGCAGCAATGCTGAGGACGGTCTGTCGCCGATTTGACAACTGGATTGAAGGTCTCACTGCAGCCAACACCAGCTTGTTGTGAGAAGCCCCACGTGACCTAGTGGGCCTTGTGCCAAGCCACTCGCAGAGCCACTTGCTCGTCACAACATTGGCACCGGGTTATCGAGGCACCATCCGCCATGTGCCATTATCGACAAGCGCCTTATACTCCTCTGTCCTCACAGCATGCCAATTAGGTCCCATAAGCGTGCTCCGATAATTCGCATGGATTGGCAAGGCTGTCATGGCGAAGAGATCGAGGCGAGATAGGCCACAGGATGCTCATATGGAGGCGCCTCGTTGGCCACTAGGAAAGTGGTGGTGCTAGAGCGCACACTATTGTTGAATGCGCCACGAGTAATGGAAAAGTAGGCGACGGATGCAGCGAAGGTGATGGGTGGTTGCAACCATTGGTAGATGACATCAAAGTGCCACTCGTTCGCAGGCTACGCGGCGGTTAATGCGGCGCCAGCTGCGCCGGGATGGGGATAGGCCATAGCCAGTCGAGAAGGTTTCACAATCTGTCGAGTGCCCATTGCAACAGTAGTGGGGGTGCAGCAGTCAACCAGGCTACAACGGCCAAATTGGTCGGCACTAGGGGCCAATGTAGATGATCGTCGGATCCTGAATGCCCGGCTGCTCAACCTTGCCAAAGGAGGAAGCAACTGAGGGGCGCAGAGGCCAGAGGGTGGAGCTACCAATGTCAGGGAGAGTCCCTGCATAAAAACAATGTAGTGATGACAGCACGAAGGCTGCCGAGGGTGCCGAGGCGAACGGAAACATAGACTCGTCGATGTCAACATGGAGTGTGATAATAATGTGGCGGATGGACATGTCTAGGCAACGATACCCCTTATGAGAGGAGGGATAGCTGAGAAGCAAGCACGGGGTCGAGTGAGAAGATAATTTGCATGGCATGGTGACACTAAGATTCAGATAACAGGGACAACTGAGCATACAGAGGGAGCAGGGGTGGAGCTTCCTTGAGGTCAACTGGGCCATGGCTACCCCTATTCTTTTTTTATTACTGCTATGTGTTCTTTTTACACCATAAATCAAACGTCCAATTTCCACTTAATATGTTGATTGGCCCCTGCTGCCTTTGGTCCTATGCTACACTATTGGGAGGGAGGAATAATCTAGGAGCTTCTAATGCAAAAACTGATAGGGGATGTTGTAATGCATGGATGAATTGGTATATATAGCCACGCTTGTCAAAGTGTTGCATGTATAAGTCTTATAGGGTGTGTTTGGTTGTCAGATAAGGACTTGCATCGTATATGCTGCATGAGCGGATGTAGGTTGAGTGGAACCGTATTTGAGAGCAGAAGGTGTTTAGTGAGGTTGTATGAGCAGATGCAGAAAAACTGAGATGCTGTTTTGGTTGCCTGCATAAGCGGATACAGCTTGGCTAACATGTGAGGCTGACGTGTGGGCCCATCCTATGCAGCCTGCATCCACCGGGCCATGCTCTAGAGTGAAGCTCATTTTGACCGTCTCCACCGGGTCAGGATGAGACCATATGTCTGCATGAGTGGAGTCAAGCCGGAACAATGGAGCCTGGCAACCAAACAAGCTTCTATTTGTGCGTATACAGATGAGCCAAGCCAGGATGGGGTGGAAGCGGGCAACCAAAGACACCCATAACCGCTTATCTCAACCCACATGATACGTAGGCCCAGCCCTGGGGGGGTTCGATCTATGCCTGCGCACTGGGCCCTCGACATCTAGGGGCCCAAACCC